TTGCTTCACACGCGACTAACAATGGGAGGACGCGGACTTCGGGTCACCGATTTTAAAGAAATTTTTATATGGTATAGTACTCTATCAGAAAAGTACTTTAGTAAAAGGATAGGGCGCAACGCTCAGCCGTTTTCGAGAAAAATCAATTTGAAGTTTATGGCGTTACTTATATTCCGGTCCTGTTGGATCGATTGTCGAGATGGCGGCGTAGCTCGGGCACTTAGGCTCTGGGCTATCACGCTGTCGACCTGGGTTCGATCCCTGCCTGTTATACTTTTTTTTCATTTATTTTATTTATTCTAGCGAATATTTATTCATTATATTTGTGGCGGCTCACCGCCACACCGCTACACTGACGCGGCATAATACGCCGCGGCGCCGCTACGCGCCGCAGGCCTTCTACCAAGTTATGAGCTTGCGGATTCACCGCCAGGTTGCGCAGGCGATGGAGAGCTTTCTCGCGATCAAGCTTCGATCAAAGCGATATAAAAGAGCTTCTCCGCAGATCTTTACTCACTCACTTGCTTCAAGGCAAGCTCTCTCCAAGGGCCCTTGATCTGAGTCATACTCTGCTTTAGCAGAACTTAGCCAGAGGCAAATTGTCTCGCAGTTTTTTTCACGCTGCCTCGCAAGGCAAGAAAAAAGAAAACAGAGTCCCAGCATCGGCCGCACATTTCAACCAAGCGGCCCGCTGATACTTCAGTACCGCCGTCACCTCCTCAGACTCTAGCATGAAAGCTAATTCCACTAGAGTTCTGCGTCCGGTTGACTCGGCCACCAAGGGACACTCTAGTACCAGGCGACATCCGAATTTGGAGACCTCTTTTTCCCCGGTATACGGAGCATTCCGTAATACCGAGAGCCGAGACGGTTGCAGCCACCGGCACACCGGAAACTCGTTCCGTGGCTATCCAGACTTCGCCGCCTAGAGCCTGCTCGGAGAGCAGTTGTCAGACGGAAGACCACTTTCCGAACGGAGTTCCACCGACCGGAAAGGGGCTACAACGAGCTGATTCGATTGAACCGTCCTTTTTAGGACCCGTTCAGTATACCAAGACGCGGCCGGTAATTTCTTACCGCGCCCGTCAATTTTTCTTTTAATTCTCGGTCTTACACCTTCACCGAGAAAGCGCCTCTGGCGCAATCAATAAATTCAAACAGAAAACGAAACTTGTACATATACTCATTCTCTGACGAGAAAAATAAAATTATATTTTTCTAACAAAATTGGTTCTCATAAAACTTTCAACCGAGTCGAACAAATCTTTTGGGCAAGACGCCCATAAACTGGTAACCCCGACGACTGGTTAAAGCAAATGAGCCAATCAGAGAAGGCCGGCGAAATGCCAGGCGCCGACGCAGCACAAATCAACAGAGTATCGGTGCGAGTACCACCATTCTGGCCGGAGAAACCAGAATTATGGTTCGCCCAATTAGAGAGCTAGTTCCTGTTGAGTGCCGTCACGTCAGATTCAACTAAATACGCGTACGCAATCTCGCAAATCAAGACTAAGTACATAAAAGAAATCAAAGACGTGATAACCAATCCACCGGCATGCGGGAAATACGAAGCAGTGAAAAGGGCACTTATACAAAGGCTGAGCGACTCGCAGGAACACCGCATCCGCCAATTACTGGAGCGCGAGGAATTAGGCGACCGGAAGCCGTCGTAGTTCCTGCGCCATCTGAGGACGCTCGCGGGCAACGCAGTACCCGATCAACTCCTGCGCACACTGTGGCTGGGGCGTTTACCAGCTCAAATGCAGATCATTTTAGCAACTCGAGCTGACGATCTCCTCGAGGACGTAGCGGCACAGGCGGATCGCGTGTACGAAGTAACATGCCGAACAGTCGCGGCATTGGACAAGCCAAAGAAGACGACATCGAAACCTACTGGCTCGCTCGAGGACCAAATCCAGGCATTGGTTAAGCAGGTCGCGGCACTCAACACGCGATTGGGCCGGCAGGAGCACCGCCACAGATCGCGCAGCCGCAGCCGGACAAAATCAACTTCAGAAGAAGACAGCGGGTTTTGCTTTTTCCACCGGCGATTCGGCAGCAAGGCCAGAAAATGTACAGAGCCATGTACATACAAGGAAAAGAAAAAGGACCAAGCGGAAAACTAGACGGTCTGGAATTAATGGCGGCAGACGGCCCGGATCCGAAACCTTGCCGCCTTATAATAACCGAGCGACAAACGAAAGTTCGGTACCTCATCGACACGGGATCAGACATAAGTATCTACCCGCGCTCGATGGTACGCGGACGGATGTCCGGAGCAACGCAGGCCCTGTTTGCAGCCAATGAAACAGTCATCCACACTTACGGGTGGATCGCGCTTCAGCTCAACATCGGATTGAGGCGCACCTTCCAATGGAAATTCATCGTGGCTGACGTCACACAGCCAATCATCGGCTCTGATTTCCTCGGGCACTTCCATCTCCTGCCGGATGTAAGAAGAGGCAAACTGTTGGACGCTACACCGGGATTGGCTACAAACAGCCTACAAAGCAGAACCGGACAAACATCAATTAAGACGTTACTGCAGGAAACAGCCTTTCACGCCTTATTGGCTGAATTTCCGCAGCTTACTAGACCAACCGGAAAGACGGAATCCGCGCCGCACTCAACAATGCATTACATCGGGACAACACCGGGACCACCGGAAGCATGCAGGCCGAGGAGACTGGCGCCGGAAAAACTAAAAGAGGCAAAGCAGCAATTCGATCTTTTACTGCAAGGAGTAATCGCGCCATCCAAGTGCGCACGGGCCTCGCCATTACATATGGCACCAAAGAAAGGTGGCACGTGGCGACCATGCGGCGATTACCGCAAGCTCAACAACCGAACGGTGCCGGACAGATACCCGATTCCGCATATCGAGGATTTTACGCAGGCTCTTCACGGGAAATCAATTTTCTCTACACTGGATCTGGTTAGAGCTTATAACCAGATTCCAGTAAACACTGAAGACGTGCCTAAATCGGCAATCACCACACCGTTTGGTCTGTTTGAGTTTCTCAAAATGCCTTTCGGCTTGAGAAACGCAGCTCAAACGTTCCAGAGATTTATCAATAAGGTGACACGCGGACTCAATTTCTGCTACGCCTACATTGATGATATCCTGGTAGCGTCTCACAACGAAGACGAACACAAGAAACACTTAACAGTTTTGTTTTAGAGACTCAGCAAATACGGGATGCAACTTAACCCAGCAAAATACGTGTTCGGAAGAGAAACCGTAGCATTTTTAGGGTACCAAGTCTCAGCAGAAGAAACGCAGCCTTTACCGGAGAAAGTCGAGGCCATACAGAAATTCCCGAAACCGGTCACCATTAAGCAGCTTTGGCAGTTTCTCGGAACTTTAAATTTCTACAGGAGATTCATTCCGGGAACGGCCATAGACCAAGCAATTTTGAATGACGCGCTTAAAGGGAACCAAAAAGAGAAAACACCAATCGGATGGAGCGCAGAACAGGAAGCAGCGTTTGAAACATGCAGAGAAAACCTCGCACGGGCAACGCTCTTGGCACATCCGGATCCGAAAGCAGAACTCTCTTTAACAACCGACGCCTCGGATTTCGCAGTCGGAGTGGTAATCCACCAGCATGGAAAACTCGGGCAGCAACCGGTGGCGTTCCTCAGCAAAAAGCTGACCGCCGCGCAGCAGAAGTACAGCCCGTATGACCGAGAGCTCCTGGCGATTTACGCAGCAATCAAGCATTTCCGGCACTGGTTAGAAGGAAGGAAGTTCACTACATACACGGACCATAAACCGTTCGTGTATGCATTTCGCAAAGATCCTTTGCAGAGCTCACCGCGGCAGACACGGCACCTGGAACTGATCGGGCAGTATTCAACCGACATCAGGCACGTGGCGGGAAAGGATAATATCGTAGCAGACACACTATCGAGGACGCAGACTGTCCAGCAAGCAGTGAATTTTGCAGAGCTAGCAAAATCACAGAAAGACGACGCCGAAATACAAGCATTACTCCAAGAGAATACGAAGCTCCAGCTTAAGGAAACCGTAATTCTCGGCACGGATATCAAGCTAATTTGTGATACATCAACGGGAATTCCACGACCATACGTCACGCAACAATTCCGGAAGCAAATCTTCAAGCATTTGCACGGACTTGCACACACAGGGATAAAAACCACCGTCAAACTAATCACGCAGCGCTTCGTGTGGACCGGAATAAAAAAGGATTGCCGCAGATGGGCGCAGGCCTGCGTTCCCTGCCAAAAATCAAAGGTCCACCGACACTCCGTTTTACCAACAGGAAATTACATGGGGCCTACCAGCAGGTTCCAGCATAAACATATGGACATCGTCGGACCTTTACCTCCATCTAGAGGGAAGAAGTATTGCCTTACAATCATTGACAGATTCACACGACGGCCAGAGGCATACCCGATGTCCGATATCACCGCAGAAACGATGGCTCGCCTGTTATTTGAAAATTGGATCGCGCGTTTCGGAGCGCGGCAGGAATTACCACGGACCAAGGGCGGCAATTTGAGTCGGAGCTGTTTAAGCAGTTGGCCAGACTGACCGGATCGCAACACATCCGAACCACCGCTTATC